GGAATGACTGAGTTCCGTAAAACGCATAATGTGCGTAATGTCATTTTAGCCTTGTTGTTTACTGAATGTTAAACAAAGATGAAATGGTACATTATACACTTTACGAAACTCAGCCAATAACATAAAGGTATTAAAATTGTTCCGTTCAATTTATTAGCGTTAAATAAAAATTACCAAAGAGATGAATCATCGACATCTTACCACATTCTTAAATAATGGATTTTAAACAATTGCAATAATTCAATCCAATTTTTGTCTTAATTAACAATTACTGTACAAACAGATCTCAGATATTGTCGTTAATTTATTAGATATCGCGTAATAAACAAATGGATAATGCGAGAGATTTAGAACATATTCCGTTCAATTTATTAGTGTTAAATAACAATTACCAAAGAGATAAATCATCGATATTTGTTAATTAATGGATTTTAAACAATTGTAATAGACCGATTTCTAAGTCCTAATTAACAATTAATTCGTAGATCTCAGATATCATCATTAACTTGTTAAATGTCGTGTTATAAACAAATAGATAGTGTGAAAAGTTTAGAACTTATTTTGTTCAATTTATTAATGTTAAATAACAATTATCAAAAAGATGGATCATCGATATCTTTATCCGATGAGTAAATGATATACTTTAAACAAATGCAATATTTTAGTCCGATTTCTAAGTTTTAATTAACAATTTACATACATACAGATCTTAGATATTATTGTTAATACCCGATTATTAAATAATAAACTTTAAACAAATGCAATAATTCATTTCGATTTCTAAATCTTAATTATAATTAACAATTATCAAATATCATCGTTAATTTGTTATAAAAAAGATCGCGTTAAACATTTTATTATTCTTATTCACAAACAACATGGATATATGCAATGATGACACATAAGGACTCATAGTTTTCGAACTGCACGCGTAACCTCACATAAGAACGCATCTTGACGGACAGTCGCTCGTTTTGGGCGTTGTGAATGCGCCTTGGCGGACAGTCTGAAGAGTGAAGACAAAGACGAACAAGACTGGAATCGCCCAAGTGGCATTTTTATAGATAATGAGGTCTTGATTTCGAGGTCTCGGGATTGACTGCACCGATTTCATTCGGAATGGTCTCAATCGAAACCTCGTATCGACATTATATAATGAAAGTGTTATTAGATTTTTCATTAGAACTTTCATTTCCGAGATATTAAAATCGAAAATCTGACGAAGCAAAACTTCGAGATAAAGCTATAGCGGTAGCGCGGCAGTGCCAGTGCATATACTCACAGGTCATCACCCGACTTTTATATACTTGGCGTCGCGCCGCTACTGCATCGCTTGATGACCACAAAAGATAAACGTTTTGAATCAATTCAAGACATTGAGGCAGCGCAACTAAAAGCACTTATATAAAAGGACTTCCAGTACTGCTTTAGCAAGTGGTAAGAACGATGGGATAAGTGTAGATATTAGAAGCTTGGGGGAGTATTTTGAAGGGAATAATTGTATAATTTGTCTTTTAATGTAAAAAGTTTCTTTTTATTTCAACATTCAC